ATTTTTTAATGTGTTTATTTTTATTTCCTGTAACATTTCACCTCTTTGCTAACACCGTTCTGGTCTCATTACAACATCCGAAGAACTCATTGGATTTAGTTTGTGGTTCCTCATTTAAAAAGTCAGAGAACCGTCCCTGGTTCTGACCCTGACCCTGGTTCTGACCCTGACCCTGGTTCTGACCCTGCTTCTTACCCAGTATACATCTGATGCATTTTTTGTGATTGTCTGAAAAAATGTGTATTTTAATATAACTTGTTTATGTTGTTAAATAAATTGAAGACATTTATTTTTTTCCAGACCTAAAACTTAAAGTCGTTTTAACTCTCTCACACTTGTGAACATGTGAATGATGTCACGTCCGTACCTGTGGGTGTCTGTGCTCTGATTGGCTGCTGTGTCTTCCCGTTTCCACAGGATGCGGTCGACCGGAGCTGCAGCACAACGCCTGAGTCAGAGACGGGGGAGGCTGCGGCTTTCGCCCCAAAGCCTGCTGGGACAGGATGTGTGTGTGTGTGTGTGTGTGTGTGTGTGTGTGTGTGTGTGTGTATGCAAGTGTGTGCGAGTGTGTGTGTGTGTGTGTGTGTGTGTGTGTGTGTGTGTGTGTGTGTGTGTGTGTGTGTGTGTGTGTATCAGGGTCAGATGCCTTAGCGGACATCTCAGGTGTGGGCAAACATCAAGGTGCTTCCTGTGTGACAGAAATCCAACAGGTTAAGATGTGACAGAGCAGGTGGACCCATGCAGAGCTGCAGGGTCCGGAACCTCAGAACCATTACCTTCATCATCATCATCATCATCATCATCATCATCATCATCATCATCATCATCATCATCCTGTTCTATGGGGACCTTTCCACTTGTTCTTTACCATTTATTTTTCTTCTCCTCTCTGATAACTTTATTTGATCACAAAGTTTAACTTGTTCAGTAAACATTCATTCATTCAATCCTCATGTATTCATTCTCATGTTTCAGAACCTTCAGACCCACTGGAGCTGTGAGAACGTTTTTAGACCTTCTCAGTGGCCTAGTGGTAGTGTCCACCCTGGGACTGGGAGATCGAGAACAACTGGACCCAACGCCTCCCTGCTTGTCACCCAGCTGTAGGGGTTGGGGGGGCAGCCACTGCTGGCGCTCACCGCTGCCCACGAGGATGGGTCACATGATGAGGAGTCTTCACCACACCCGTGTGTGACAGCTGCGGGACTTTAGTCTTTACCCTTTAACCTCAATCTGAATCCATCTTTTTGTTGTTCTGAGTGAATAAAAACAATCTAATGTTCATGAACAGAACCAACAGCTGGTTCTGACTGGGTCACTCAGAACCAGAACCTGGACTGAGTTGTGATAAAAGGAACCAGATGTCCTGTTTAGTGTTTCAGGAGCAGCTGGTTGGTCTGCTCGTGTTTCTAACATGATGAATGATCCAGTTGCTCTTTCTTGCAGTTTACTGGCAGTACTTCTGGAAGTATGTCCTCACATGTCCTCACATGTGCTCATATGTCCTCACATGTGCTCATATGTCCTCACATGTGCTCATATGTCCTCACATGTGCTCACATGTGCTCACATGTGCTCACATGTCCTCACATGTGCTCATATGTCCTCACATGTGCTCATATGTCCTCACATGTGCTCATATGTCCTCACATGTGCTCACATGTCCTCACATGTCCTCACATGTGCTCACATGTCCTCACATGTGCTCATATGTCCTCACATGTCCTCACATGTGCTCATATGTCCTCATATGTCCTCACATGTCCTCATATGTCCTCACATGTCCTCACATGTGCTCATATGTCCTCACATGTCCTCACATGTGCTCACATGTGCTCACATGTGCTCACATGTCCTCACATGTCCTCACATGTCCACACATGTCCACACAGTAACACATACATGTCCTCACGTGTTTATGTTTATGTATTTAGCAGACGCTTTTGTCCAAAGCGACTTACAAGTGATAGATACAAAACTCTGAAGGTGTGTGTGTGTGTGTGTGTGTGTGTGTGTGTGTGTGTGTGTGTGTGTGTGTGTGTGTGTGTGTGTGTGTGTGTGTGTGTGTCTGTCCAGGCTCTTTATGTGGTGTTGCCAGGTTTGTTAGATTGTAATCCTTTCCCACTCAACAGCTCTGAGCCCTGCTGGAAAGGAGGTGTTGGGTTTCCGGAACCAGTTCGTAGGGTCCTGCAGGTATGTGTTTGTTTGTTTGTGTGTGTGTGTGTGTGTGTGTGTGGCCCCACTACAAACAGATACACATCAGTTTGTTTGTTGGGTTTTATTTATTGTTCTGCAGTCTGACCACAAACAGGAAGTCAGCAGCTGAAGCTGAAAGCTGTTGGGGTTGACAAAGGAAGCTGAGAAGCTGAGAGCTGCAGCAGCAAGGCGCTTGGAGGTGGAGGTGGAGAGTGACAAACATCCGGCGCAGACGCAGAAGCGACCACAGAAAGTTTCCACCATGATGGATGGAAAACACAAACATGCAGCTGAGGCCATCTGCTTAAACTCCAGAAGCTGATTTACTGCAGAAGTGAGAAAATCCTAAAACTAAACCTGAGAAACATAAAGACAGATTATAACCCTGGTTCTGTGTGTTATAGTGTTTAATCTGAGTTTAATGTAGAGAAATACAGAATCAGGGTTATTATTTAGATCTGATAAAATGAAAAATCACCCAGTTTCTCAAAGAAAACTCATGTAATTGATCCAGAAGTGTCAGGGCCTTCATGTTTGCTGCCCCCACTCTATGGAAGTGCTCCCCCTCCCCGTTAGACATATTACTACCACTACCCTTACTAGTACTACTATTATTAATGCAGCTGCTACAACTACTACTGTTATTGGCAGCAGCTCAGGAGGTATAGCGGCTTGTCCAGTAATCAGAAGGTTGCAGGTTCTAATCCCGGACAGAGGGTGCTGTCGTGTCCTTGGGCAAGACACTTAGCCCACCTTGCCTGCTGGAGGTGGTCGGAGGGACTGCTAGTCCCTGAGATCAGCAGCATCGCCTCTGTCGGTGCGCCCAGGGAAGCTGTGGCTACGATGTAGCTCATCACCACCAGCGTGTGAATGGGTGAATGATGCACTCGAGTGTAAAGCACTTTGGAGTCATCTTATTCTGAAAGGCAACATACCTTTATGGCAGTGAGTGGGCGTGGTGAGGGCAGGATGTGACTGAAATGCAGCTGAGAAACATTCTCGTTGGTCTCCGATTTAAGAAGCGGAGATTGCGTGCAGCTGCAGGGGCCTCATTTATCAAGCTTGCTTACGCACAAAACGGGGTCAGAAAACTGCGTAAGCAACTTTCCACGCAAACTTTGGGATTTATGGAAGAAAACTTAGCGGAAAAATGTGCACAACTTTACGTTGACTAAGGACCTGGCTTACGAACATTTTGGACATGGAGAGCACCTGCAGAGCTGTTGCTGAGAAGGACAAAATTGTGAAATCCTGCAGCATTATCACTTGTACCGCTTCGTTTTCACTCAGAACAAGACCCCCACATGCACACACATGTGGAATGCAGAATATCAGCAGGGGGACAGATTGAGACAGAATGTCATGCGTCTGTGACAGTGTGTGTCCTGCCACTGTGACCCGATTGATCATGCGTCCTGGCTACTTGTACAAGGGAGATCTCCATTTGGGTGACTGGTTAGCGCACGTGACTTTCACCCGGGAGTCTGGGGATTGAATCTCGATTGGACCATTATTTTTATATCCACCACAGATCTCTCTGAAGAACTCACAACATTGACGGCTTCAGCAACGCTGTGCTACTCTGTGGATTTTATCTCATTTGTTTTGCAAAAGCACTTCCTTTCATTTCTCCACCCCACCCACAGGTACCTCAATTTCTGCTTCTGTGAAATTGTGCTTCCTTAAACTGCCTTGATCTACAGTCGCCATGGTCATTGGCGGAGCGCTGCAACAGCAGGCTTATGTATATGCATGAGATCCACAAAGCACTTTGCATTGACTATTTATGGCAGTAAGTGGGCGTGGTGAGGGTGGGATGTGACTGAAATGCAGCTGAGAAACTTTCTCGTTAGTCTCCGATTTATGAAGCAGAGATTGCGTGCAGCTGTGCGTACTCCATGTTTGATAGATCACAAACCTACTTGGCGTAAGTACTTTTTTTTTGCTGAGCTTAAGTACGGTTTTAGTAAGGATTCTATGCAGTGTTTGATAAATGAGACCCCTGGTCATTTGTTATTTAGTAATACAACTGCCAAAACACATGAAGTTGCCTGAGTGTGTGGGATGTGTTATATAAATAAAGCATTTTTGCCTTACTGCTGCTAGTACTAGTACTACAGTAGATAACAATAACAACAGCACATTTAATGTTTTACTACATAGCACCTTCAGCTCTATATTTCTAGCGTGTAGGAGGACTAGGGGTGTCCACTGACCAGCTGGCTAACTGCTTAACTCTGAACTAGTTTTACTCCACAGGAAGAAAACTGATTGAGTCGGTCTGTCCCTCGAGTGTCCTCTAGGTGGCGACATTCAGAGTCTCTGTCTATTAATGATGCAGCAGCGCCCTTCTGTGGATCCGTGATGCAACTTCAGATCCTGACAGGGAGGCAGGATGGGTATTGGTATCAGGAGTGGCCCTATAGCAGAAGCTCCAACACTCCACCTGTGAGAATAAAACTGCAAGGCTCAGAGACCAGGAAGGATGAGATGGGAATATATATATATATATATATATATATATATATATATATATATATATATATATATATATATATATGTATAACATACCAAAGGGGTCAATTTTCACCTTTATATTGACCAACATAATAACCTTTCATCAAGGTGCTGGTGACGTTTCACCTTGTGAAACGTCACCAGCTGCCCAGGGCTTAGACCATAAGTTAGTTTCAGTTTTTTTCTGCGCCGGGCAAAAACATCAGATTTTCTTTAAATTCCATCTGTGAAAATCCAAAAACCTTTGTCATCGGAGGTTTTAATACTTCTTTACACATGCCATTCAAAGGATTTTTGCCTCTGGCCAATATCTTTAAAACATGAAAAAATAAAGAATCAAAAATCTGTTAAATTTGTTTGACTTTTTTATTTTTCAGGATGATAAACTGCTTGAGATGTGGCCCCTCGTTTTAAACCTGTTAATAATAGTTCTCACATATGAAAGCTTCGGTTTGAGGGAATAACCATAGAAATATAAACATCCATAAAGTGGGAGATGACCTGTCCAACAGGGTTTAGATGTGAAGAAAAACAGGAGTGGGCCTGAAGCAGGGCCTTGGGACACACCACCAAGCAGATCCGATGTAGCTGAGATTCATTCATTCACACAGACATGTTATGTCAATGTCTTTTATTTATATAGTGCTGTTGAGTATATTGTGTGTAACAAAGGCATGCCTCGTGACTTGAGTGGTGACATCACATGAACTGTGCGTGTCTGCGTGCACCGGAATGCTATTTAAGTTGAGCAATAAACGGTCTGCGTGTTCTCTGCCTCAGACCAAAAGGAGAAAGATGGCGATCTGTGTTTTTTTCCCTCCGGTGATTATTAGTGGCTACACGGTGCACCTAACCACTTTGGTAGCAGGTATCACGCTGAAAGATGTCTAACGTAACAAGCTCATTTACGGCAGCAAATAGCTGTAGCCAAAGTGCTTAATTTGAGCAGAAAACATTAAAAACAAACAAAATCCTGAAAACTACAAACAGAATAGAATAATAGCACGATTAAAAACCAAAAACAAATACAATAATAACTTAACTATCCCTAAAAGCAGTGGAATAAAAACATGCCTTAAGCCTAGACTTAGACAGGTCAGCTGATGGAGCTGCGACTGCAAAAGCCTGTCTCCTCCAGCCCTTCATCTGGTGCTGGGAACAGACAAGGTCATCTGAGCAGGGGACCTGAGCTATCGGGAAGGTCAACAGGGAACACACAAATCAGACGAGTAGGGATGCGCCTTCCCATGTTATGAAGGAAAGGTACAAAACCAGTTCTAAAGATCTGGACCTGCTTCATTATTGTACAAGTCCAGCCACATGGTGAAGAGACCAGGACACTTAAATGATAAATGATCCACACTTGTATCGCGCCTTTCAGAGTCGGAGGACTCCAAAGCGCTTTACCCTACAGAGTATCATTCATCCATTCACACACAGGTGGTGATGAGCTACAGTGTAGCCACAGCTGTCCTGGAGTGCACCAACAGAGGCTGTAAGGACACAGACCAGGACACGTAAGGACATTGGTTGATAGCCATGAATCAAAACAAAACCAGACATCTTTATCTAACAGAAACATGTGGCACAGGACATGACAGGTCTGCAGTGAGACGGGTCTGCAGTGAGACGGACTGGACGGAGCAGCATAGAAGGACACCAGCAGTTCTCCAATACGATATATTTCCAGATAACCCTGAAGGTCAGTGTCTGGGGACCCGGTTCTGATCGTGTTACGTTTGATTCTCTCCACCCAGAACCAGACAGCTCTGCTGATCTCCAAGACCCACCAGGTGAGCCTCTGGATCAGAACTGGTCTGAACCTGTTCCAGGCTTGATTTTCCACATGGTGGCACTGTAGTCCCAAAAATGAGGTGTGGGGTTTCCACAGAGCAGGACGAGGTTTTTGTATGAAGATGCAGGATTTCCTGTCACAGTGGGCCTCACAGTAGTACACAGCAGAGTTAGTCACAGCAGCAGAGGAGATCAGCAGATGGAGGACCTTAGTCTGCTTCACCTCGACCTCCAGTCCTGGCACTGCTCTGTCCAGCACAGATCCTGAAGATGAGTGTAAGATGAGGAACTGTGGGGGTCCTCCTGGATGTTGTCGGTACCAAAGGAAGAAGTCTGTTGATGAAAGCTCTGGGAACTGGTAGGACACAGAAACTAGTCTTCCTGCTTCTCCAAACTCCTGGTTGTTGAGAGGAACGGGTTCTGCACTGCTCACATCTGGAGGACACAGGAATCACAGAGTTTAGGATCAAATAAAAATAATTCACCAAAAATGGATGTTCAACTTAGACGAATCTAGTTGTGACCTACCAGTAGGTGTGAGCAGGGTTAGCAGAACCAGAACCAGAACCATCATGGAACAACAAAACACTCAAATGCTTTAAAGTCTGTGGTCTAATGGAGAAAGATCTATGCACAGGAAGTCCCTCCATCCTCCTGTGATGTCACCATCTCTCAGCCAATAGAGTTAATGCAGGAGCAGATGTCAGGTGACTTTAATCTGATGTCAGAATCAGCTGCAGGTTGGTTGTGTCATCAGCAGCTGAAGGACCCGTCTCACTCACGTCTTTACGAGATTGGTTGTCCTTCGCTATAGAAATTATATTTTCTTCTTCTTCTTCTTCTTCTTCTCCTCCTTCTTCTTCTCCTCCTTCTCCTCCTTCTCCTCCTCCTCCTCCTTCTTCTTCTCCTTCTTCTTCTTCTCCTCCTTCTTCTTCTTCTCCTCCTCCTCCTTCTTCTTCTTCTCCTCCTTCTCCTTCTTCTTCTTCTCCTCCTTCTTCTTCTTCAGCTATAACCACGGTGACTCGTCTGATAAGAAGCTGTGGTCTGAATCCCACTTCCCTCCTCTTTGAAGAGGAGTCAGGTATCTGTGTTCGGATTTTTGTACAGCCTGTTCTACACTTTGTATCACCGTGTTTAGAACTGTGTCTGCTAGGGTCACACTTTTGATTGTCAGGATTGTTGATGAAGACATTGTTTGGGAACCAAATCCTTCATCAGGAATAAATTCAGATGTAGAACCTCTGGCTCCTTTCCAGAGTAGTAAGTGAGGAGCCTGAAGGTCAGATGGTTGTCTGAACCAGTGAAGGGAAACATAATCTCGTAAAGACAAGTGAGTGAGACGGGTTGTCCTTCAGTTCCTGTTCCTTGACCTCCAGCAGCAGAGATGGTGTCTCCAGCTATATGTCACGCTGCGAGCCAGGAGGAGGTTAGGGCCCAAGATGCAGAAACCCAGAGCGACACAAAGGCAGGAGCGAAGTAAAACGTAAAATCCTTTATTTAGGAATAACTGTCCAAAAACCAAAAATCCAAGAAGTGGCAGGAAGCCCAGATCCAAATGTCCAAAAATCCTAAAGAGCAATATCCAAGAGACCTAGAGAAAAAAAACAAATAGAGACCAAGAAACCAAGAGGGGGGAACGAGACAACGCTGACACAAACAATGAACCAATAACACACTGGACAGGGTTATATACACAGGGGCTGGGTGATTAGGGAATTGTGCACAGGTGAGACTAATAAACAGAGAGGAGGAGCACAACAAAGCAGGGGAAGAAACCAGACCTAAAAATGGGGAAGGGAGCAAAATGAACTAAAGGGAGATCGTAAGGGAAACCTAGAGAGAACCTGGAGGGGGCTGGGGAACACAAGGAGGCACATGAGGGGGGATGCAGACAAGGAGACACATGAGGAACACAAGGAGACACATAAGGGGAAGCTAGAGAGGGATGGAGAACACAAGGAGACACATGAGGGAGACGCAGAACATGACAGCCCACCAGAGATGAAGAGGTAGTGCTGTCGGGACCAGGTGGAGGTGTGGAGGTTCGGCCAATCAGAGGTGTGGAGATGCGTAGGGTAGGTGGTTGCGGATAGTAGCTGAAGGTATTGTGAAGCTCCTTGGCAAAGACCCCAAAAGATACCTCCTCTATGGAGTAAAGGTCGAACTAGCAGGCGGCCCATCGCAGAGCTTTACCCCCCAAACAGAGCACCATAAATGATACCTTGTTGAATTCGGAGGAATTCAGGTCTAAGCAGCCAGCACAGTCCTGAATAAAAGTTCAACAGGTCTCTGGGTCACCATTGTACCTGTACATCTGCCGTAGTGTCGGAGTTCCTGGAGATTCTGCTGGGTCCAGTGTAGGTCGGTTCATTCTGTCACGCTGCGAGCCAGGAGGAGGTTAGGACCCAAGATGCAGAAACCCAGAGCGACACAAAGGCAGGAGCGAAGTAAAACGTAAAATCCTTTATTTAGGAATAACTGTCCAAAAACCAAAAATCCAAGAAGTGGCAGGAAGCCCAGATCCAAATGTCCAAAAATCATAAAAAGCAATATCCAAGAGACCTAGAGAAAAAAACCAAATACCTAGAGACCAAGAAAGGGGAACGAGACAACGCTGACACAAACAACAATGAACCAACAACATATTGAGACGCAGACAGGGTTATATACACAAGGGCTGGGTGATTAGGGAATTGTGCACAGGTGAGACTAATAAACGGAGAGGAGGAGCACAATGGAGCAGGGGAAGAAACCAGACCTAAAAATGGGGAAGGGAGCAAAATTAACTAAAGGGAGAACGTAAGGGAAACCTAGAGAGAACCTGGAGGGGGCTGGGGAACCACAGGGACACAGAAACCTAAGGGGAACACCTAAGGGAAAGAACCTGGAGTGGGCTGGCGAACACAAGGAGACACATGAGGGAGATGCAGGACATGACACTATTAGTCCTGGAAAAAAGAAGAAAGAAAATGAAGCCATCAGACCAACTTTGTCCATGAGGCTGAGAAAAGAAGACAGTGGACAGTGTCTCCTGTCCAGGGTTCCTCTGTTCTAAAATTCACCTAGAACGTGAGACAGAAGCAAAAAGAGGGAAAGCAGCATGTCTGGAGTTGTTCCAGCCAGACGCACAGCAGACAAACAATGTTCTTCCTCTACAATAGGAGGAACACATGATGTCATAGAGCTGAACTTTAGTGGGTGGGGCCAATCAACTCCTGACATGATTTCAGTTAATCAGAGTCTGAGATGGTCCAGCTCATTAATAAAAAACTACAGCTATTATTGTTCTACTCTGTGCTTCAATTTCTGATATTTTTAATAAAATGAATGGACACTCAGGGCTGCATGCAAAGTGACAATGATCAGTGGGAATGGCATCTATGTAACATGGAATAGAAGTGTTAGCGTGTTGCCTTGCAGCAAGAAGGTACTGGTTTCATTCTGGGGTCTCTCTGCAAGGAGTTAGCATGTTCTCCTCATGCCCGTGTGGAGTTGGCATGTTCTCCTCATGCCCGTGTGGAGTTGGCATGTGGAAAACTCAAACAATATTTAGAAAAACAAATGATGCACGGTTACATTAATAGCAGCATACCTAGCAGCTGTTTATTAAATACATTTTAAATCCTATACAAACATACAGTACTTCATTAAGTCAGAGTGAATGTCTCTCTAATGACAGGACCATCTGATTTATCATCAGTTGACTGTGGAGGGACTTGCGTACGAGCGGCTACTCCATGTTTCATAAGTCAGGATTTTGGCCGCTCAGACAAACATCCTGAATTTCATTCTTTCCTGAATTTAAGATGGTTTCTACCAACGTTTGAGGAATGAAGGCCCAGGTCTCGGGTGAAACGTGACTTTTGGATACCTGTAAGGAAACTAATTCCCATTGGGTTTCCATAATACACTTGAGTGTGCAGTGCTGCCAATTCTTATGCACTGAGGGTGAGTAACACATATCTGAGCATCATTTCGCTGTAGAAAGTTCCCACCATCCAGGTTTTAATAGAGTCCAAGCAGGTGTGGAACAGCTGCATCTTAGACATCTCATGGGGCTTAAAGGAGATGTAAAGTTGGATGTCATCTGCATAAAGATGGTAGGATTTGTAGGAGCTCAGGATGTGCTGAAGAGGAAGCAGATAGAGGAAGAGCAGGGGCCCCAGTACAGAGCCTTGTGGGAAACCATGGGTGAGGCAGCAGTCTGGACTTTCTGCAAACAGCTGAGGGCAGATTTACACCAATGAGATTTGAGTTAGTATAGTCCAGTCTGAGGTGATGAACACATTAATAACATATTCCTTGTCCAAACTCTTAAGGATGGGCTTTAATCGTGTTAGGTGACGAAGCTGGGCATAACAAGATCTTTCATTAACATGCATGGACATTGACAAATCAGCATCTACTTTAACCCCTAGTGGATGTTGGGGAGTATTGTGTTGTCTTTGCTCTGCAGGTTTTTCTACACACTTTTACTGTTTCCTGTCACTGTGGGCCTCACAGCACAGTAGTACACAGCAGAGTCGGTCACATGAAGCCTCTGGATCTTCAGAGGAACTGAATTTCCTGTAATTGCAGCTTCAAATCTGCCTTTGCTGAACTCTGGAGCATTGTTACTTGTCCCAATTGTGTCTCGGTACAAAGCGTACTTTGGAATCTGATTTTCTTCTTGTTTGTACCAAAACAAATGAACGTTGAAATAATCACTTTTATCAAAAGTACATGGAAGTGTAGTGGAGGTTCCTTCAGCAGCAACACCTCCTTCATCCTGGACCACTTTATCTCCTTTACACTCTGAGGAAGAACAGAAGATGCAGAGGAAGAGATGAATCAATACAGATGATTGATGAAAGGAGAACCATCAGCAGCTTTAAAGACTTCTATTCCATGTTACATAGATGCCATTCCCACTGATCATTGTCACTTTGAACCAAATCAGGTGTTTTTACAAGCTAACAAATCTGCTGTGGTTTTCTGTAGAATGAACATTAAAAGCTCTTTATGTGGAGCTCAGTCATGTGTTCAAGTGTTTGAAGTGGAAACATGTTGAGCTTTCTATCTTACCAGAGAAAAGAGCAGCAAGAAGAATCCACAGCCAATGTTCCATCTGTACAACAAGGTTTCAGTCAACAGGAGAAACTAGCTGCTGTTCAACACCACCACTTGTTATTGACACAATGCTTGAACACAGTGCACAAGTAATGCACCGCCTACTGGAGGATGTCGCCCTCTAGTGGAGGACACAACTTGACTTCAACAGGATGGAAAGAAGCCTTCCAGCAGCTGGTCGCTGGCTCAGATTGGGTTTTTAGTCACATCTGAGGTGTTTCCTGGAGCTGCAGGCATCATAGAAGTCAGCTACAGCTGAGGAGATCAACATGTTCTCCAGCCAGTCCAGTGGAGAATCTCATTTAAACAGTGAAAACTGAAGATGTGGATGTCCTTTGCTAGCTTTGTTGGAGATCTTCTAAACAAATAAAACTCACCACATTGGTTTCTGCTAAAACCCATTAACTTTAGTATTGACTGACCCTATAGGAGAACAGATCTATGAACTCAAACTGCTGAGAGAACAAGCTCTAATGTACAACATCACATCACCATGGGTGGAGCAGAGATGCTGGTTCTTCGGAGTCGGTACAGATTCTGGTTATCTTGTTGGAAATAAGGATGTTTACCCGTTGATGATATTTGATTTGAATATTTGTAAAACTTTGAAAATAGTCCTCCACTTGAGGCAGGACCTCATTCCTGACCTGGAGAAGGCATTCTACCCTTTTCCGACCCAAGACCATGGTCTCGGATTTAAGGGAGCTGATTCTGATCCCAGCTGCTTCACACTCGGCTGTGAACCGCTCCAGCGAAGCGGAGATCACCAATGGGAACAACTCCAGAGTGGTAGAAAGTCCAACCCCCTCAAGGAAACTGGTTCTGGAGTCTGAACCATTCATCAAGGTGAGTCTGAATATATCTAGTGTTGAATAATGAGTACGTGTTCCTAGGTGAATAATAATGAAAAGAGTCGTTTCAAGTTAAACCCTGACTGATCACAGTTTACAGGATCCTGGGTGGATCACCGTCTAAGTCCCTGACCACCACACATCACCTTCAGTGGACTCTTTGGGAGTTCGACTGAAGCCTCTCCTGACCCAGGGCTTTATTACAATCTCTGAGGGAATGTGCAAATGGGGTCTCTTCCCATAGGTCCACTGGTGTCCGTCTCTCTATAGGATGAAGATCAACTCATTTCCAGGCAGCCTGCAAAATATCATGTCAGCACAAAAACACACTTCCTTCTATGTATTGTTCTTTTCTGACTGAGACACTCGGCTCTCAACAGGGCCGTAAGTCTGCCAGGCCCGTCTGGGGTCCGGTGCCCTATCTCCTTGTGACCTATGACCTGGGCCACCATTAACTCAGGTAAAGCTCTGGTGGACCATGCTGCTGACTTCAGGAGTAACTTCTCATGCAGCCTTTAAACATGTATTTTAATTTAACCTTAATGGGCTCGACACACGGGAGGCGACAAACGACCGCGATAAACTAAATTTGTCGCTGTCGCTTTTATTACCTGACACACGGGAGGCGATCCGCGGTAGCGGCCAGCAGCAAAGCGATCTACGCATTCTGTTCCATGGCAAAATTGAAACTTCCGTTGTTTTGTTTGGCTGTGTCAGGCTGGAGGGAATAAAGGTTATTTAAGCGGTTCAGAGTTAAAAAAAGCAGTAGAGATGATGTTTCACAAGGTGCTGCTAGAGTTATGTGAAATCTTACTTCTGATTTTACTATATAAACCATAATAATAATCAACTTCTCCTCCATGTTTGCTCGGAGGTGTACGGAGCATCCTGTCCGCTCATTGGTCGGTGAATGAAACCTCCGTTGATTGGTCCTCGTCCGAGCGACAGCGATGAAAAGTTGAAAATGTTTCAACTTTCTGGGATTGCGTCGCTGGGTCGCCTGTGCACGACACGTGCACGAGAGCAAAATTTCACACGCACGTTTTTTGCGTTTCGCTAGGTAGGAGGGAGACCCACGATTATCGCTTTGTCGCGCATGTCTCATTGAAAATGAATGGAGGAGAGGCGATGTCGCCTCCCATGTGTCGAGCCCATAAAGAGTGACCATATTAGCAGCTTTAATAAAAACATGTCAATGGCATTTTAATATAAATGTGAAGCAGTAGTTGTCTAATCATGGTGAGTAAATGATGGTGGCGTCATTATATAGCATGCATGAATAACCATTCTTTATTCAGGTACCGGTATACAAAATAGGAGACTCCAGAATAAGAGGCCTTTAATACTTAAATTAAATGATTGAGTCACAGACAATATTCTTTATTGCATTGTGAAATTACAAAACCAGCTAAACTTTTAGATCTTAAGTGATTATAGGAAACTCAAAAGTGATTATAAGATATTGAGTAACTATTCTATCTCCTTGTGTGATTATCTGAGCCTTAAGCTGAGTGCTAGCAGGGGATATAGCCTAACGCTAGCCAGAATCTCTCAACCTCACAGACCAACACCGGCTCTTTCCCCACCACAGAGGTGATGTTCCACCTGCTGACAGCTAGCGTTTGTAGCCTCTGGCTACCACCCAACCCACCCGACTCTGTTGGCATCTCCCACGAGTGGTGAGCCCATGAGAGGGAGGACCCACGTTTCCTCTTTGGACTAAGTACGGCTGGGATCCATGGGAGAAAGCTCCAGAGGTGACCTGGTGACCCGTGTGTGTGTGTGTGTGTGTGTGTGTGTGTGTGTGTGAATATACATATATATACATATATATATATATATATATATATATATATATATATATATATATATATATATATATATATATATATATATATATATATATATAAGGGATTATATAAGTTTTCCTCTTCCCACTCCCTTTCGGGCAGAATAATATGGCCATGTATGTTTACTCATTTGTATAATATGCTTATATTTACCTTGTTTACTTAAATGTGCCATTGCCTGAAAAAAAAAAAATAAATTATATATATATATATATATATATATATATATATATGAAAATACAGAAACTTGTTAAAATGTATGTATATTTCTGACAAAGATTTTATATACATTATATATATATATTAATAATAATAATGCATTGAACTTATATAGCGCTTTTCAAGACACCCAAAGACGCTTTCACACACTCTCACATTCACACACTGCTGGTGATGGTAAGCTACTTATAGCCACAGCCGCCCTGGGGGGGTCTGACAGAGGCGAGGCTGCCATTTGGTGCCGTTGGCCCCTCTGACCACCACTAACACAGGCAAGTTGGGTGAAGTGTCTTGCCCAAGGACACAACAGCAGGATACCCCTGGCGGGAGCTGGATTCGAACCCATGACCCTCCGATCATGAGGCAACCCGCTCTACCACCTGAGCTACTGCTGCCCCAGTATATATATATATATATATATATATATATATATATATATATATATATATATATATATATATATGCTCTCTTGATACTTTGGTTTCATCCCAGGGAAAAAAACAAGCATGTTAGATAATCCATAAATAAATGAACATAATCACTTTAAAGTTTAATGTCTCGAACTGTAGAACGAACCAAGCAATGTGACTGGAAAATGTTCTTCTGCCTGTCACTAGTGAACGAATGATGAAAAGGTTTGGAGGATAAAAGGATTGTACTAACAAAGCCCCAAGTCTGAACTACGGTAGCTTTGCTTCACAGAAGACCATGTGACTGGTGACAAAAAACATCTTGTTTGGCTCAGATTACTGGTTCATTAATTTTGGCTTTTTTCAAAATAAAAGCAGGGTCATGTTTGAGCACATCCAACACTGGGACCATCAGCCTTAATCAAAATCAAGCAAACAAATGTCAAGGTGTTGAACATCTTAAATAGGAATAGGAGCTTACCTGTTCACACCTGATTGTAATTTTGCCAATCAGACACTTCCACCATGGTGGAAGTAGGAAAACATTCCAAATCTAAGTCACCTTCTCTGCTAATCTTTGTGAGAAATATACATAAATCTTTACCAGTTTCTGTATTTTAATTTATTTTACAGAGAATGTGATTTAGATATAGACATTATGCTTTTCAGGTGGTTTTCCCACATCGGTGGAGGTGTCTGATTGGTTAATCACCACCAGGTGTCAACAGGCTGGTTCTTCCTTTATAAGATGATCAGCGCCCTGATGCTTGTTGGCTTGTTTCATCTTAAGAAAAAGAAGAAGAAACATCTGTTTGTACAGCCCTCTTAAAATCTAAATCACAAGGTCCATAAGCACAAAAAAAATTAATTAATTAAAAAAAAATTAAGTCCCCCAAAAAGACAGAAAAAGCAGCATGAAGAGAAGATTGTCAGGATGAACAGGAGGTCACTCAAAAGCCATGCTAAACGGGGAGAGAGGTCCAGAGTCTGGGGGCCACAGCAGCAGATGATCTGTCACCTTTGACCTTTAGCCTGGTGCGCTGCACAACCAGAAGGCTTTGATTACTGGACCTCAAGGACCTGCTGGGGGTGTAGGGACTAAGAAGATTACCAATGTAAGATGGTGCTTGTCCATGTAAGGCCCTAAAGACCAGAACCAGGATCTTGAAATGAACCCTGAAGTTGACTGGCAGCCAGTGAAGCTGGAGGAGAAGCGGGGTGATGTGGGTGTGTTTGGAGGACTTGGTCAGAAGCCGAGCACAGGCATTCTGAACCACCTGTAGACGGTTCAGGGAAGTTCTGCTCAGACACGTGAAAGAGAGTTGCAGTAGTCTAAGCGTGAGGAGATGAAGGTGTGGATAACTGTCTCAAGTTCAGAGTGGGACAGAATGGGACTCATCTTAGCAATGTTCCTGAGATGGAAGATGGAAGAGCGAACAAGAGAACTGACATGAGAATCCAGGGTGAGAGCTGGGTCAAAGGTCACACCGAGATTCTTGACAGAGGGTTAGGGTTAGATGAGGATCGCAGTCTTATCTTCATTCAGCTGTAGAAAATTCCCACCATCCAGATTTTAATAGTCTAAACAGGAGTGGAACAGCTGCAGCTTAGACATCTCATGGAGCTTAAAGGAGATTTACAGTTGGATGTCATCTGCATAAAGATGGTAGGAAACTCCTTTAAAGGAGCTCAGAAGTGCTGAAGAGGAAGCGGATAGAGGAATGAATTAGAATATAAAAAAGATTTCAAAAAATGATTGAAAACATGTTTTAAATGAAAAAAATGTGATTAAAAAGGAAAGGGAGAGAGAACATTAATAGGTAAATCAGTGGATCCAGGGAAAGGTGGAATAATTAAGAAAATTAGAGGCCCCAGCATCGAACCTTGTGGGACACCATAGGTGAGGGAGGTGGTGGAGGACCTAAACTTGGAGACGGCCACAGAGAAGGAACACTCAGACAGTTAAGAGAACCACTCCAGAGCAGTTCCTGATAGGCCTACCCAGTCTCTCAACCTTTCCAGTAGCAGGTAATGGTCAACAGTGTCAAAGGCTGCAGTCAGGTCCAGCAGGAACATAACAGTCCCCTGCTTCACTGTGAGTCAGAAGGTCATTAGAGAACCTAAGAAGAGCTGTTCCAGTAGAATGAGCTCTACGAAAACCTGACTGGAAGCTATCAAAGATGTTATGTTCATCAAGAGCAGCTGTGAGCAGTTTAGCCACAACTTCTCTTGATGAACATAACATCTATGAAGGATCCAAGATCGTGGAGATGAACGGAAGTTTAGAGATGGGTCTGAAGCTGCTATGGAGAGAGGGGTCAAGACTCAGTTGTTAAGAAATAGGTGGATTACAGCGTTCTTAAAGTAAGCAGGGACCTGACCAGAAACCAGAGAAGCAAAATAATAATAATAATAATAATAAAAAAAAAGGGAAAAAAGAGAGAAAAAAGAAAGAAAATAAGAAAAAAGAA